GTGTGCTATTAACATATGTTTGTTTTTTCAAATTAACTATATAATAAGGCCAATTTCACCAATTATAGTTAGACTGACCGATAATTTAAGTTAATAACAGGATATCGAAAACTATGACAACTTTTATACTTGTACATACATCCTGCTAACTTTAACCGTCGGTTAGTCTAACCGTGGTTGGTGAAATTTGGCCATTAACACAATAAAAAATAATTTGTCGATTCAATATCGAATCGACGTCGATTCGATATCGATAAAAATGATCGAAACTGTGACCACCTGAATATCGAAATCGATGTGTGAATTGATGTCAAATTTCGATATCGAATCGACATCGATTTAACGTCGATTCGATGTACCATTTCTCACTGGGTAGTTCCTTCATTGAAAAACGGCTCATTAATTTTTCTTTCAATTCTTTCAGTCTAGGCTTTCTATTGCTCGAGACAATTATATCGTTAACATACAGCAAATAAATATGAATAAACGTTAGTTTTTGATTCGAAGAATAAGCATTTATCGTATTCTGATTAAACTAAACTAATATTCTTTATGTAACTTGCAAATTCCGCATTCCAGGCTCTTGGAGACTGTTTCAAGCCGTATAAGGTTTTGTTCAATTTACATACCTTCGAAGTACCGTCGTTGCACCCATCTGGTTGCTTCATAAATATCTCTTCTTTTAACCGTCCATGTAAGAAAGCGTTTTTTACATCCATTTGTTCAGCATGCAGTTTTTCAATGATTTATGACCGATAAGAGAAGCCGTACCGTCGTCATTCTAGCTACGGGAGCGTATGTTTCCGAGTAATCAAAACCCTTCTTTTGTGAGCATCCCTTTGCAACGAGTCTTGCCTTATGACGAATATTTCCGGAGTTATTTTGTTTAATTCGAAATATCCACTTGCTGTCGATTGCCTTTTTTCCTTCCGGTAATTCTACTAGGGTCCAAGTTTTATTCGTGTGTATTGCTTGTAGTTCCTCGTCAACAGCTTTGTGCCATTTTTCCTTATCAAATCTCGTCTCGATGTCGTTAAAATTCCTAGGTACGTCTTGTATAAAACTTTTGGCGAATAGAGCCAGTATACAATAATCTGACAAGTATGCAGGTCGCTGTTTCTTGCGTGTACTTCTTCGTATTCCGTCTCCGTCATCAGATTCCGCAGATTCGTATTCCATCTCGTTTGATTGAACTTTTTCCACTTCTTCCCCCAAATCTTCGTTATCTGGAGTGTTGACTTGATCATTTCTTTCCGATTCCTTTTCTTTAGAATTTTGAACAACCGTCTCCACGTGAGTTGGTTCATGATCGAATTTTGCTTCATTAAATACAATATCTCGACCAAATAGGACCTTGTTTTCTTCCGGATACCATAGTTTAATTATATCCATTTATACAGCAGCCGATCATATAGCACTTTAACGAACGTGATTCAAATTTATCTCTATTAAGTTCCTTCGGCACATGCAAATATGTGACGCAATCAAATACTTTTAGCTTGGCAAGATTTGGTTTGGTTTCGTACCAAAGTTCAACTGGGACTTTGTTATTTAAAGCTTCCGTGGAACTTCGATTAATGAGATATGCAGCAGTTTGAACGGCATCAGTCCAAAAAATTTTACCCAATTTTGAATTTAGAATTAAACATCTAGCGCGTTCAATAATATTGCGGTTTATTCTTTCCGCTACGCCATTTTGCTGCGGAGTATAGCGAATTATATATTCTAGTTTAACTCCTTTTTCTTCGCATTTGTTTTTAAATTCTGTCGAGATATACTCCCCGCCATTGTCGCAACGCAATCTACTAATTCGTAGATTAAAGTGAGCTTCAGCCATTGCTTCAAACTTCTTGTAGTAATGTGGAACTTGACCCTTCTTTTCCAATAGATACACGGCTAAAAAATGAGTATAATTGTCTATAAAACGTCTGTTAAGACGTACCTTTTCACATCATGTGATTCGGTGTTTATAGGTCCAAAGAGGTCACTATGTATCAGTTCTAAAGGCGTAATCACACTACAGGTTGCGGGCTCGGTTGCAGTTAGGATTACGGTTAACTGTTGCAAATTGATCAATCACACTACAGATTGGCTGTACCGACTTTGATAACCTTTATCTCCTGCTTTTCTGAATTATAACCATGTCAACAATCATTAAATTTATTATAAAAGAACGAAAACATAGATTTGTACGTGCGTGTTGTCTACTATTTCTTGTAGCAGTTAAGGAAAAACATAAATTAAGACGTTCTGTATGGACTAAGCCGTATTTATTGCGAAGAAAGTTTAGTGGTATGCATCACAACTTATTTTTAAAACTTTTTCTTGAAGATCCGAACCGATGTCGAAGGTAAGATATAATTTTTATTTATTAAATAACTAATATATAATAAATGTAATAAATATAATGAATAATTCTAAAAAAGTGAGCACAACAGATTAGTTTGATTTGAAAACAATTATACTTTATATTTATAATTTATAGATGTTTACGCATGAACGCTGATATCTTTGAATATTTTGTTAAAAAAATAACTCCTATTGTTAAAAAGAAAGAAACTCATTTAAGAGAAAGTATATCTCCTGCTGAAAGACTCTCTGTCACTTTGCGTCATCTGGCTACTGGTATGATAGCTTATGCAAATGCGATATAATTAATATATTATTACGCCCGGGGCGGTGAATATCGCGTTCACGCACTCGCGCTCGCGCACGCACACTGGAAGGCCGCGGGGAAATAAAAGAAACACCAAATTAAGAACACAAGGAACACTCTCTTTATTATAACTAAGAACAGAGAACGTGGCGAATAGACAGAGCAGAGCAAAGCACGTCCGCACGGCACGACGGCTTGTCTCAAATCTAATATGTCGTCTGTTTGACAGACGACAATGCGTCGTCAGGAAAACATCCGACCGCTGGACCGGCTCACTGGTACATCGAACGACGCGGGCGTAGACACGGGCGTAACACTACCCTCCTTCTTCTAGATTGTTGTCCCGACAATCAGTGCTTTCATATAAAGGACCTCAGGGTTTTCTGATGGTTTCCTGTTCTACTCTGTGCTGCTGCAGCAGGTTACCGAGCACCATCTCTTCTTAATGATAAATCCAATTCTTTAATCCTTTTTCGAACTTCCGAGCAAGACCCTATTTGTCTCTTTCCCGAAAGACGGCCAATCCTCCAGGCTTTAGACCTCAGGCATCCTCTTCTTCCTGGAAGTCGATTCTCTCGCCCTCCTGTGTCCTTGATCTTGCGTCTTGACTCTTCAGTCCTAAATCTTCGGATAAGGGGGGGAATTACTCTGTGGTACCCAACGTGCGTTAAGCACTCCCATGTCCCTGTCTCGGCATTTGCCCATAGTCTCACGGAAAAACCACTATCAAAAACCGTGAGCGAGACAGTCTTCTTA